GAGGGAGGTGTGGGAGGGTATAGTTGATTCAGTAGCTCTTGTGTCCAAAGGGGTCTAGTCCCTGCTTAGACAGAGGAAGCTGTGATCCATCTGTCTCTGTTTTCCAGCCTGGGTCACGAGCTGTGGCCTCCTGTATTGGGAGCTGGAACGGAGCAGCTGCTGAGTCCCAAGCAGGGTCTGTGGTGGGGAGAGACCTTCATCCAAGCCCCCTTGGTAGGGTGACCAGATAGCAAGTGCGAAAAATCAGGCACCTATAGAAGACAAATCCCAAATATTGGGACTGTCGCACTCACTATAAAATCAGGACACCTGGTCACCCACATCAGGGTGACAGACCCAACTCCTGGGATAAGAGTTGAAGGGTGGAATCACCCCACGCTCCCCTCCTCTGGCTGCTTTGTGGGGACCAGGGTGCCTGCCTCACTTGTTCTTACAAGCACTTCAACATCTGACCCCAGAACAGGGGGCTCCCACCTGGGGATCCACAATTAGAGAGAGGCACCTAAATCTGGGAGGGCTGATATCCGGAGAAGGGTGGGAATTAGGACAAGTCCCTCCCCTCAGTATCTCCTGTTGACTACTTTCTGCAGCTCCCTGCCAGTGCCTAGTATGCTGGGTTGTGTGAATCCCATTCTTAGGTGCCTGTCTGTCCACATGCCTGGTACAGGGAGCCTAGGTGATCAACACAGGCTTTGTGGATCCTACTGTTGTTCCAGTGATTTTCTAGACATCTAAAAGTTGGGCTTTGCAACAACAAAGTCCATTTGCTGAGCCAGGCCTTAGCAGCTGCCATCAACCAGATCTTTGATCTATAGACACTTGCAAACCTGGTTGAAGCAGAAGGGTCTACGGAGAGTCCCAAGTGCCCCCCTCCATATCCTCTAATAGTTTTCCAGTTTTCACCCAAATCACCAGCCATCTCCCGAGGGCTGCCTATGACATTCCCTGCAATTTTCGAATTGATCAGATGCAGCAATCCAAAAGTTTTTGCATCAACTCCAAACAGATAAATGTCACCGAGTTAAGTGGAGGGCCTCGTTTTGCTAGCCCCCCCCCCCCAAAAAAGAAAAAAAAATAATATTGCCTGGCTCTTGGATAGCACTTTTCATCAGGAGACCTCAAAACCCTTTACAAAACACACTATTATCATTCTTACCCACAACTGCTCCACCTAGGTTCAAAGATATGCCTCCCCAGATGGATGGACTCTTTTCACAGGAGGTGGGCACATGGGAAATGCCAGCCAGAGGGGATTTCCCTTGCAGATGACAAATTTTTCTCACAGTCCCCTAAAAAACCTGAAGAACTGGCAGCTCTGGTATGACCCTAAAAGCCCCTCAATGTCACCTGGAAAAGGGTGCATCGTTCTATGACAGCAACGCCTCTCAGGCCTGACAAACTCACTACACCTAATGCATTGCTTTCATAGTATTTACCCAGAGCAGGTCATGGGCGGGCTCTAATAAAGGCTCATATAACATTGTTCCTCAGGATCATTGCGAGAAATGTGGGCAGATGATCTTTAAGGAACTATGTTTATATACTGGAAAATATGTTTTAACATCAGAATCAAAGCAGGGGTGACAAACAGGGTTTGCCAGATAAAAGGATGTCTACTCATCTCTCTCCCCCATTCATATGTAGATGAAGCATTGTAGGTGAACACAATCCAAGACAAGTTTGCATACAGGGTCAACAGGAAGAGCACACTGGAGAAGAAACGGGAGGGGGGGACACATCCGTTGTTTACTGGACTATACCTGGGGGAATAGACCAGCACCTGCAATCCTTCAGGCAGCAAACAAGAGAGCACGTTTTGCATTCATGGAAAGGAGGATCCCAACGATGGTGGCCGGTGACCCTGGGAGAATGCTTTAGCCATGGATTTTACTTGTTAAATTCAGCCTATCTGAATCCTGTTCTACCTGCTGTTTGATATGTAATGGGTTGGTCTGATTTCTTTGCTCACTCTCTCTTACATCTTACTTAATAAACTTCTGTTTGTTTTCACTAAAAATATCGCAACACGTTGATGTTATATTGGCGCTGAATCAAACTAGCTGGTAGTGTCCCTTTGGGGCCGGCTTACCTGGGAGTTTCTGAGCATGGGGAGTTTGTCTGGGGAGCTAAAGGCTGGGCGTGAGAGGGAACTGACACCCAGTTTAGCAGAAGCACGTCTCCCTCGCGCTGAGGCAGGAGGGTAACCAGGTGATTCACAGTCCGGGGCACCCAGAGAAAACGTTACAGCTGGAACCTGCCACGTGTGGAGCTCAGGGATGGTGAAGTAACACCACCAAGGGGCTTCCCAGACTGCCGCTGTGTCCATTAAAGACCTTTCCCCCCCACATTATTCAAGACAAGGGACACCGGGAGTTTGAAAGACTAAATTTTACTTTATTCTTTTCAAAGCAAGAAATAAAAGCTAAATCCCGCCCCCATCCAATGCCCAGTTTGGCATAGCCCCAACCCAGCACATCCCTGCTCCAGCCACACACAGGCTCCGGGAAAGAGGAACAAGTAAAAACTGGTAGAAAACCACTCACAATCCATGAGAGAGGCATTTGCCCGGCCTCCTCCTCTGAGCAATGGGGAGACGGGGACCCCTCTTCACATCAGTCCTCTTCGGGCATCATTGGTGTTGCCGGCACAGAGGGCCTGAGGACAGCAACAGTGGGGTTCGTTGCCCGGTGTGCTTCGCGCCAATGAACACACCAGGGTGGAGAAGCAGACAAGGTTTATTTGAGATCTCAAAGCGGTGCAAGGAGACTGGCACGTCTCAAATCAAGCACACCAACATAAACAGTTTTTCTCTTTTTATACATTTTGCAGCTAAGCTCTTCCCTTCTCCCCCCCCCCATTCCTCCCTCTACCCTTCCCTTCCCTGGTAATAGTTATATTAAGCAGGTAGCAATTACATTTAAGCAGTTAAATCATCTTGGCGGCTATAAATCTAGCTCATTAGTAACACTTCTTTAAACCGTTATCTTGTCCTTTTTCCCTTTGATTTATTATCTCCCCTTCAGCCAGAAACATGCAGGCCTCATTATTACCGCTTGGTACCGGTATGAGTGGTGTTGCAACTGATAACTGGCTGTTACACATTCCAATTTCTGCACCTGGCTTTTGAGGTCGATTAGAGTTTAAACATGGAGGGACTTTGGTTCATTTAGGCCTAGTGCAGGAAGGCTTCATCGACACTCGTGGTTTTCCACCCTCCCGAGTTACCTAGGGTTATGCCTAGTGACACCAACATTGGTAGCCCTTTAGAGTTCAAGGGTGACTTCACACAGCACTCGTAGGACATTTCTCTCTCTGGGACATGTGCAGTGAGTTCACAGTTCTCAGACTCAGCTCTCCGGCTCGCAAGAGCAAACAGTGCCCTTTCAAGGCCCTATCCACCCACCCCCTCCTGACTGTATCTCACATCTGTGCAGGGATCACGATGTAACTTCCTTCCCCATTTCAGTCTCTGACTCTCGGAGTGTGTATCCAGCACTCGCACTGGTCATTTTCATTGTTCAAAGAAGAAGAAAATCTCATGACAAAGGCTAGTGAAACATGAAAAGAGAACTAGAAAAGCCGACTTTGGCAAATGATCATTTGTCTTTTGAAGTCCCCAATCAATCTGAGCTCCCTCCAGTCAGAATAATTTAATATCAAAATACATCACAGAACAGCCGTCAGCAAAAAGAGAACCACCCACAGTGCAGGGTGAGTTGCAAGCCACTTTCCGATTCATGAAGTGAAATCCCAGAAAATCTTAAGACTCAAAATCTGGAGAAAAAATTTCCCCATTTCCTTCTGAACAGGCTGAACGTGTTTTACTCAGCACCACCGCATTACTTGGCTGTGTTATTGACAAAAGTTTCAGCATCATCCTCATAAAAGAAAGAGAAAAACAAGACAAATCTCACCCAAAACTTTGTATCTGCAAATGATCTGGATTGGGCTGGAGAAACTCCAGATGCCACTTTACCAATAGATGGAGGCTGGGATTGAAGCTCAAACTGTGCTTTGGGGTTCATTTGAATTCCCCCCCATCAGGGATGTGACATTTTCTTCGCCAGCCCTCAGGGGTCTTACTGAGAATCAAAGTGTGATTCCTAAGCATGGTGGGCAAAGGACACTGTGGTATATGACACACAAGAAGGTGGAGGGGTAAAATGGGAAGAGGATAAACTCTCACGGCTTGGGCAGAGGCTGCTCTGTCAGAGAAGATGCCTGAGGCTGATGGGGCAGGAGGGAATCCCCTGGATTCACCCCGTCCCCCTCAAACAACACAGATGCTAAAACACCCCTTTCTTTTGCTATCCCTGCTCCAACTTCTTTAGAATCCATTGAATGCTGGTGTGTAATGGAGAAACACCACAACAAATGAAATGATTTTCATCATAACCTGGAGCAATATGAGAGTATCTGGGAATGAGACAATGTCACCACAAAGGGGGCACTTAGTGACTCTAACAATCTCTCTGTTAACGGGGGATTGGAATAAACTGCTCAGGGTCAGTCCAGACTAGAAAAAGGGGTGGAGGAACAAAGGACATGCCCTAGATAATCCCAACTACTTAGACAGATGGAGGCTGATATTATCACTCCCCATTTATTCCCTCTCTGGAAGGCACAGATTTGTCTCAGGTCACCCCGCAAGCTGCAGGCAGAGTTGGGAACAGAGCTTAAGTCTCCTGAGTCCCAGGCCAGTGCAGGGAACAGCCACAAGTCAGTGGGGGAGCCCAGCCCAGGGGCTGGGGAAGATGGGGGTGGGGACAGAGGTCTAGAGTGAAGGTGGGGCCTGGTCCAAGTGTCCTTCTCCTTATCTCCATGGCAGGAGGATCCTGGCTGGGAGGGGAAGGGAGAGGGGGGAACTTCAGCCAGGCAGAGGGAGCGGCTGGAGGAGTTTCTCTCTCTCTCCCTTCCTCCACCTGTGGCCCATCAGCTCAGCAGCCAGGGTTGCAGCAGGGAGGAGGGGCTGATCGGGGCTTCTCCTCCTTTGTCTGGGGTTTGCTTAGACCAGGCAGAGCCAGAGGGTCACTGACCAGCTGCTGCTGGGTTCTCACCCCAGCGACGGGCAGCTGGATTCCTGAAAGCCAAATGTCCCTGTTGTGTGTGGGAATGAGGAAATGGGTTTGTCACCATGGCCAGCCCTAGTCAGGGCCCTGAGAGATTTTCCCTGCTGTGTGGGGGAGTCTCTGATGTCCAACATGGTGTTAGCTCCACTTGGAGCATTTTCCGCACTGAGAACATCTCAGAGGTTTCTTCCCTGTGCGGATTTGCGGATGCTTGATACTCCGGGAGCATCAAATGAAGCTTCCCCCACATTCAAGGTCCCTCTGTTGTGTGGATCACTGAAGTGTGAAGTCAAATTGAATCTTTTCCTGCAGTCAGGCTTTTTCTAGGGTCTCTCACCCTTGTGGATTTTCTGATGTTTGGTGAGCTCTGAGCTCTTACTGAAGCTTTTCCCACAGTCAAGGCATTTATAAGGTTTCTCCCTCATGTGGATTCTACCATGTCGAGAAAGGTGTGAACGCCGACTGAAAGTTTTCCCACAGTCCAGGCATTTATGGGGTTTCTCTCCCGTGTGGGTTTTCTGATGATCAGTAAGTTGTGTTCTGTAAACAAAACTTTTCCCACAGTCGAGGCATTTATAGGGTTTGGCACCCGTGTGGATTCTCCTATGTTTAGCAAGGTGTGAACGACAAATGAAATTTTTCCCACACTCAAGGCATTTATAGGGTCTCTCTCCTGTGTGGATTCTCCTATGTTCAATAAGGTATGAGTTCTGACTGAAAGCTTTCCCACAGTCCAGGCATTTATGGGGTTTCTCTCCCATGTGGGTTTTCTGATGCATATTAAGAGTTGATTTCAAACGGAAATTTTTCCCACACTCAAGGCATTTATAGGGTCTTTCTCCTGTGTGGATTCTCCCATGTTTAGTAAGGGATGAATTTAGCAGAAAACTTTTCCCACACTCAAGGCATTTATAGGGTCTTTCTCCAGTGTGGATTCTCCCATGTATAGTAAGGGATGACTTGTGTACAAAACTTTTCCCACACTCAAGGCATTTATAGGGTCTTTCTCCAGTGTGGATTCTCCCATGTATAGTAAGGGATGACTTGTGTACAAAACTTTTCGCACACTCAAGGCATTTATACGGTCTTTCTCCTGTGTGGATTTTCCTATGATTAATGAGTCTTGAGCGCTGACTGAAAGTTTTCCCACAGTCCAAGCATTTATGGGGTTTCTCTCTTGTGTGGGTTTTCTGATGTCTAGTAAGACTTGAGCTTTGAATGAAACTTTTCCCACACTCAAGGCATTTAAATGGCCTTTCTCCAGTGTGGATTCTCCTATGTACTGTAAGGGATGAATTTTGTGCAAAACTTTTCCCACACTCAAGGCATTTATAGGGTCTTTCTCCAGTGTGGATTCTCCCATGTATAGTAAAGGGTGAATAGTGTACAAAACTTTTCGCACACTCAAGGCATTTATAGGTTTTTTTTCCCATATGGATTCGCCCATGATTGATGAGGTATGAATTTTTTCCAAAACGTTTCCCACACTTGAGGCATCTATAGGGTCTCTCTCCTGTGTGCACTCTCTGGTGTACAATAAGACATGGCTTCTTATTGAAGCTTTTCCCACAGTCCAAGCATTCATAGGACTTCTCTCCTGTCTGGGTTCTCCAGTGTGTATGAAGGGTTGCACTGAAACAGAATCTTTTCCCACAGTCAAGACATTTGTAGGGTTTCTCTTCATTGTGACTTGTCTGCTGGACTGTGGCTTCCTTGGCATCCTTCCATCCTCTGTCACGTTGAGTGGATTCATCCAGTTTCTTCCTGGGATAGTTTCCCAGCTGCATCTCTGATCTGTGTCGATCTCCCCAGGCATTTCCCTGTTCCAAGTCCTGGGAAAAATTCCCTTCAGCTCTTCTCAAAAACATCTCCTGCAGTTCCACTTTCCCAGGACCTTCCTCCTGCTGATTCTCCTCCTTGTTCTCACTCACTGTCCTATCACCTGCTGGGAGAGAGAGAAGCCAGACAGGAGTCACTGCCTGTGCCGGGGGGAAAGGACAGAAAGGGGAATATCAAAGAGGGAAGACACAACACAGTGACTGTTGGGGAGATGGAGACGTTGGCTTCTGCCTCCACATCCCACCCAAACACTCCCAGTGAAGTAAAGTCAGGGAGGAAATTCCTGACAGGTAACAGGGAGGGTGGGTGGGAAGCCGTGACTGATCTTTGCCTTGATGATACGACAGCCCTGACCTGGATGAGAAGGGGCAGAACTGAGGGCTCTCACTCATGGCACATTTTGGGAATCCCAGCTTTTTCCTTCACTCGCCAGATCTTTCTGTCTCCGTATCCCTGACTCCTCACCTGTGCAGGTGCCTCTTGAGCTCCCCCTTTCCTCACCGGCCTGGAGATCAGGGACCCACGGCTCTTCCCCTCGTTCCAGCCGGGCGATCAGGTCAGGTTTGGGACTGGGGAATCCTGCACAGGGGGTGAAATCAGGCAAGGTCAGGGTGAATGGAGTGGTGATAGTTTGTCACAAGAAACATTCCCTGAGTTTAACCTGACCCTACATGGGACTGTGGTAACTCAGACCCCTTGGGAACAGCAGACATCTGGGGGCGGATGTGTGTTGTTACACCCTCTTTATGATTTCTCAGGATAGTTGTGCTCTGGTGGACTTGCTGACACACACACACATCTCATGTGTTAAACTCCTGCCTATTTCCAAGCCTGCAGAACTTAGAGCCCTCCCCACGGCTGGAGCTAGTCCCTGGAAGGAAGTTGAATGGTGTGTGAAGGAGAAATAACACAGGCAGGGCAATACCCTGCTTCTGGCCCCTTGAAAGCTGGAGAGATGGGGATGAGTTAACATGTCCATTATGTTTCAGACTCTCCTGTTCCCTTGAAGGGGGAATGGAGATGAAAGTCTCTCTCTCACTACAGCAGTGGACTACACAACCCTCCCCCGCAATCCAACTGACCAGATTCAGATACGCAGACCCCACAGCTTCTGATAACCGAGGGGGACGGGAATCCCTTACCCAGCGAGGTCACCGTCTCATAGTTCTCCCGCATGACGTCCCTGTAGAGGGCTCTCTGAGCGGGGTCCAGCAGAGCCCCCTGCCCCTGGGTGAAATACACAGCCACCTCCTCGAAGGTCACCGGCATCTGAAACAACAAGAGTCCCCCACTCAGCACCTGCTGCCCCAGCCACAATCCCACTAGTCACAGGGGAGGAGGCCCATAAAAGTAGAACCCTCCCCTCCACTAAGAGCAGCCAGGAGGCTTCAGGGTGTGGGGAGAAGGTGAGAGCTCCTTGTCCCCCCCAGCACATGGAGCAGGGCAGCGTCTTCTCATTTCCCACACACCTGCCAGCCACAGGCTAATACGGGAAGCAGAGCTCTGAGCCAGGGGCAGGGACAGGAATCCCAACAGCTTCCCTTCATATATCACAGCAGCCTCTGGCCAGTGGGGTCAGGCACCGGCAGTGGGAGTCTGGTCAGTTTTCCCAGCCCTGCCCTGAAAATCCCCTACCTGAGCTGGCTCCATCACAGCCATTTCCCTTCCCTGTCCCCTGGAAAATGGGACGATCTGGAGCGACATGTGGACGTGATTCCGCAGCGTGTTGGGGCGAAAGGGCAATTGGGGGGGGGTGTATTCAGAAGGAGCTTGAGTCCATGTCACACCCCGACTTCCCCCCACGCTCTCTCCCTGCAGACAGACGCTCTGGGCTCTGCCACGCTGGGAAAACCCTCAGTCACTTTATCACAACACAGACCCAGCCCCTCCCCCCAGCACTGAACCCCCGCGACACCTTCCCCCCCCCCCCCCCCCCCGGAACAGAGTCTCTAAGACAAATGCTAGAAAAGAGCCGAATCAAAGGAGCCACTTTGGGGGATCCCTCCTGACATTGGCCCCAAGGGCAGCGTGTCCCCCCAGCAGCACGGGGACTCGGCCAGGGCAGGACCTGGCTTCTCCTCTGTCAGCTCCTCCCCGTGTTCCCAGGAGAGTCAGTCTGTGTCTGTGTCTGTGTCTGTGTCTGTGTCTGTGTCTGTGTCTGTG